TTGGCAGCATCTCATTAAAGCCAAACTAAATTGAGGGACACAGGAATTCCCACGGGTTATACTGCCACCTACAGGAGTATTGGGTAATGGCAAAAAAAAAGTAAGCCGGCCCCCCATATAACTCCTCCCCTACCCAGCGGGTTTGTTTATAGCATCATTTTTATTGCGTGTGATCCCTATTCTGCGGATCCCTATTGGTGAACCCATCTCTGCCCTCTCGCAGCTATTCAAAGATGACATCCGATACCTGCTGACCATGGACAAGCTGTGGCGGAAGAGGACTCCCCCCGTGCCGTTGGACTGGGCCAGCCTGCAGGGCGGAGGTAATTCTTTGGTGCGGTGGCTGCTGATTGGTCGGAGGGCTCTCCGTTTTGTGTGCGCGCGCTCTCCGTTGTCTGGCGGCTGAACCGTTTCTTTTGTCTTCCGTATTGAAGACTCGTCGGAACAGAAGAAAGACTCCGCCCCCGTCGGGCTGAAGGATCAGCAGGTCCTGGATGTGGCCGGGTACGCGGAGCTCTTCTCCCGAAGCGTGAGGACGTTGTGGGGGCAGCTGAAGGAGAAGGGAGAGAACTCCTCGCTTGTGTGGGACAAGGTGAGTCACCGGCGAGGGGAGCGGGCGCTGAGCGGGGACGAAGGTCTGCGGTATTTGGGGGGTGGGGGGGAGTGTTGACCGCTGACCTATCTGATGTCGGGTGCACTGAGGAATGCTGCCGCTTGGAGGAGGAGCTTCCATAGAGGAACGCTCATCATAGTCTCCCGACTTCAGATAGACTCCTCCCACACCATCGCCGCATCATAAGTGGTTGCTATGAGCAGCAGTCGTCCTTTTCTGTTTGTTCTTTTCCGGTGCTCACCGTCTGCTCCCTACAGGACGAGCCCCCGGCCATGGACTTTGTAACGTCGGCTGCCAATCTGCGGATGCACATCTTCAGTATGAACATGAAAAGCCACTTCGATATAAAGTGTAAGTGTCTCCTCCCTCTCACGCGTCTCCTCCCTCTCACGCGTCTCCTCCCTCTCACGCGTCTCCTCCCTCTCACGCGTCTCCTCCCTCTCACGCGTCTCCTCCCTCTC